CGTGATCCCTTTGCTGTTGAACCAGGAACCTTGGGGTGATGGTCTGCTCTTCCTTGTGCGATGTTGGTGGAGTCATTGTCCCATTCATTGTCTACAGACTGGTGGAAGTCTGGCATGATCTGCCACTGATAGTCTTCAGTAAGTGCCACCTTATGCCCCAGTTTCAAAAGGAGGGAAAAGCAGTTGAGGCAGTTGCCTCAAATTCAGCAGAAGCCCCTTCCCATCTACAAAAGCCATCGCCTTCAGTTTATAACAACCTGGATCTTGTTTATGCATTCACGTCTCCTTTGGCCTTATGATTGTTCCTTGCATTTTAAAGGAAGCCAGAGGTGAATACACGTTCAACAGATGGCAAAGAGCTGAGCAATGTTCTAATGTTTTGAAGAGACTAATATCTTGATGAATTCAAATCTGGTCAATTACTGCTCTCCTGTGAGGTATTTTTCCTCAGTCCAGGAGCCAAAACCCTAGAATTTAATATAATTGCCTGTTTAATGGTGTACAAGTGTGGCTGTTATACTTCAGCTTTTCTGACAGTCTGTTAAATGGCTGTTCTCCAGCATTTTAGAAAGAGGTTGGTAAATAAATGCAAGATGAGTGTTTGCAGACTAGTGACCTGAACTCTCAGGTCAGGGTTTGCAAAACTTTTCTGAACCTTTAGATCAGCACACTATTTATAGAAAAATGTCTCAAATGGCAACATGCAGTTTTTAACAGAAAACATGTGTGGGAGGGTGCTTGGTAGACTTAAAATATAGACACCAAATGTGTACAAAGTGAGTAAAAGAAATTATCTGGGGAGAAGTTAATCCCATTGCATAGGAGAGAATACTTTGTGTATGTATTTTCTAAATCTTGTTATGTAAATAGCAGAAAAATTGAATCAGTTGGCTGACAAACGGTCAGACTAGAAAGGATTCTTTCCTCTTTACAGTTGTCTGTCCAGCCTGAGATGTTGTAGTCCAGTGCAAAATTCACAATTGAACTTGACTTATTGCTGTCTCCACGTGGCTGCCACATCTTCCAGAGGTGGTATGCTGGTTTTGCATATAGAGCCTTAATGTGCACGTTTTGTATGAAGAACAAAATAAAATGCCATTTGAGTCCTTTTGTGCCAGGCAGTAGAAAGTTGTGTATATGCTGGAAATGGGTATATGCTAACAGGCTCTTTGTGCATCTGTTTGATTTGAAGCTGTCCTTGGTTTGATTGCGGGTGGATTGGTGTTGCTTCTGCCTGAAACTAAAGGAAGAGTTTTGCCTGAGACTGTTGAGGATGTTGAAAACTTTCACCGGTGAGTCAGGATGATGTACTATTAGCAGTTTTCACTTGAAATTGTGTAAAATCCCTGCCCAGAGCTCCTTGGGGAAGCCCAGGGGTTACATGGCTGCCTCCCATGCTTCCAAGAAGTTGCTAGTTAATTCTCAGACTCTAGCTGGAGGGATTTTCTTTTTACTGCTTGTCTACCTACGCATCTGAAAACAAAAAGCATAGGCCTTTACTGTCCTGTGAATAGCTGCACTAGTCTATCAAACCTGCTGCACCACTATTATAAATGGGTTTTGTGCATAAAAACCCTAACTGATCTTGTGGAACAGAAAAGGGCGTTCTTGATAGCTGCTACTCATGTGGTGAGTGAAGCACCAGTATGTACTGAGGAGCCAGAGCAAATCTAAAGGATTTGAGGATTAACTGCTCATTTTCTCTGGGGAAGAGGCAGGGCAAGTGATGGACTTGAAGTTAAGTTGAACACTATTCCTGGTTTGCTGCTCATGTTTTATTATTCTTGCAGGCAAAGTGCTCCAAAGGCCAGAAAGATCTATCTCCATGTCCAAACAACTGAAGTAGCACGTGACTGAAGAAGGCATAACTCTCTCTGGGTAGCCTGCTTTAAGAAACTAGCATGGAAAGGCAAACTGGAATAAATACTCTCTCCTGTCTTGCCTCTTTTTTTTGTCTGCCTATCCTTTATTTACAATGTTGGGGGTTTCCGATTCGATTGTCCCTATTGGTGCCAAGCTGCTCCCCTGCCTGTACGCTATAATATAAATATGTTTCAGAGCTGGGAACTCTTTGTACCAGCCGTGTGGACCTCAACATGGGGCAGATCTTAACTTGGTGATAGTGGGGTCCACCCCAACTAAACTTTATAAGCCTCCACGAAGTTGGACTTTATTGTTTTGCAGGGGCAGCATAATAAAACAGAGGTTTACTTCTGTTATGGAGCTGAGATGACTAGAAACCTCATGCCGTCTTGGTACAATTTACAACATTAATGCACAGAGATGGGCCCAACCCAACCTCATGAAGTTCAACAAGGCCAAGTGCAAGGTCCTACATCTGGGTCAGGGCAATCCCAAGCACAAAACAGGCTTGGCAGGGAATGGCTGGAGAGCAGCCCTGAAGAGAAGGACCCGTGTGTGCTGATTGACCAGAAGCTCAGCATGAGCCAGCAATGTGCAATTGCAGCCCAGAAGGCCAACCGTATCCTGGGCTGTATCAAAAGAAGCATGGCCAGCAGGACAAGGGAGATGATTTTGCCCCTCTACTCCACTCTGGTGAGACCCCACCTGGAGTACTGCATCCAGCTCTGGAGTCCTCAACATAAGAAAGACATGGACCTGCTGGAACGTGTCCAGAGGAGAGCCACGAGGATGATCCGAGGGCTGGAGCACCTCTCCTATGAGGAGAGGCTGAGAGAGCTGGGGCTGTTCAGCCTGGAGAAGAGAAGGCTCCAGGGAGATCTTATTGCGGCCTTCCAGTACCTAAAGGGGCCTACAGGAGAGCTGGGGAAGGACTTTTTACTAGGGCATGTGGTGACAGGACGAGGGGGAATGGCTATAAAATAGAAGAGGGCAGGTTTAGATTAAATATTCGGAAGAAATTTTTCACTTTGAGGGTGGTAAGGCACTGGAACAGGTTGCCCAGAGAGGTTGTTGAGGCCCTATCCCTGGAGGTGGCCAGGACGTCAGGCTGGACGTGGCCTTAGGCAACCTGGTCTAGTTGGAGGTGTCCCTGCCCATGGCAGGGGGGTTGGAACTTGATGATCACTTCAAGGTCCTTTTCAACTTAAACCATTCTACGAATTGGCAGAAAATCACATCCTACAGGCTAGTACAAAGCTCATGTTGTTTCCAGCTCCCCTGTTTATTGCGTGATCAAAACAATGCATGTGCTAGATTTGATTTGCAACTTCCTCCAATCCTATCCCTACTGTATGGCACTGTGTCATCCTACATTCTGTAAATGTTTTAAAACACGAAGAAGCTGGGCCTCTTCCCAGAACTGGGACTGGTCAGGAGGCAAACCCAAATCCAGAGAATATGCACAAGTTGATGACTATGATGTGAATCACACTTTAAGTGCTTCCTAAGAGCTGTGGAGAGGACCTTTCAACCTTCAAAACCACTAGAGCAATGATTTTCCTGCATGTTATTGAGGGAGACTTACTCAGAAAGCCGTATCCTTTATTTGGCTCATCTTCCCTCCTCCCCCTGCCTCAGTCTTTGTCCCTTACAGCTATTTCAAAGTTTGTCTGTGCAAAACCCCAAACTCATGGCATTAGGAAAACAATCATGCATAAACACAAACATGAATTTGCTTTAAAGTGCAGGGCACTGTGTCCTCTTATTGTTCATGCCACTCACAGTGGCTATCTGTGATGGGGTTTTCTCCCCCTGCTCTGTCACTGGTGCCTAATGATGTTGTAGTTGCACACAGCCTCCCACATCATGAGGCTTTGCTGCCTCCAGCTCCTTTTTCCCTTCCTTTTTGTCTTCCAGCTTGCTTAATATCCGGTCAAATTCTAGGATACCAAAGCTTAAATCCAGACTGGGCTTAGAAGTACTTTTTTTTTTTGTACTTATTTCTCTGGAAGAAGAAGAGCAAACTGGGAGGGAAGAGGGGGGACCTCTGGATGCCCTGGGCTCCCCAAGCGTAGTCTGCAGTGGCGGTGCTTGCTGCTGGGCAGCAGGAGCTGTCTCACAAAGCTGACCTGCTGGGCATCAGGAGCCATAGACTGACAGATTTTAAGGTGTATAGGGGGAATTGTGACAGTAAATTGGTTACTGTCTATATACTTGCTTTTGTGCAGAGTCAGTTGTAGCTGGGAGGAGGTGAGCTGAGCTCATGAATGCACTCCTGCTGGGTGCGAGCAGCCCGAAGAGATTTTTAGTTTTATCACAAGCAGAAGAAAGTGTTCCTTCATGAGTTTCCCACTCACACTGTACGAGTTGTTACTGCCGATGTCCTGGGATGCCAGAAGCATGAATGTGTTCAGAAGGCAAATAGAAAAATTTGTGGAAGGATGGCCCATGAGGGCCAGAAGCAGAAATGCAGGCAGACAACCTCTAGCTTGGGAAGTCCCCAAGCCATAGACTGCTGGCAGCTGGGAGAGTGCAATGGGGAAAAGGTTACTGTGTTGGCCTGGCTCATCCTCTGCATGTGGGATCGAGGGCTGCGTTTGCTATGGCTGCTCTGCTGGCCCACTTCTGCCCCTCTGCCCTAAGAAAGCCAGATATGGGGCAAAACAGGTCCTTGAGGTCCTTGAAGAGTGTCCAAAGAAGGGCAACAAAACTGGTGAAGCATCTAGAGCACAAGTCTTAAGAGGAGCAGCTGAGGAAACTGGATTTGTTCAGTGTGGAGAAAAGGAGACTTGGGGGCACCTTCTTGCTCTCTGCAACTACATGAAAGGAGGTTGTAGTGAGGTGGGGGTCAGTCTCTTCTCCTAAGTCACAAGTGATAAGACAAGAGGAAATGGCCTGAAGTTGCACCAGGGGACGTTTAGATTGCATATTAGGAAAAATTTCTTCACCAAAAGGGTTATAAAACATTGGAACAGGATGCCCAAGAAATGGTTGAGTCACCATCCCTGAAGGTATTTAAAAGACGTGTAGATGTGGTGCTTAGGGACGTGGTTTAGTGGTAGACTTGGCAGTGCTAGGTTAACCAGTTGACTTGGTGATCTTAAAGGTCTTTTCCAACCTAAATGATTCCATGATTCTTACTTGGGGGCAGCTTCGGAGGTCAGAACATGGAGATAAATCATTTTTTCTATGCTTCTCTCTTGCCTGTGGAAGGAAAGGTGAAAAGGCAGATGATGCTCCTGGTGGCTAGTAGCATGATCCGCCAAATAATCTATATGCTTACATTCATTGAAAACTAAGTTTAATGGCTGTCTCACTGGCAATTTTTCAAATGAGGTTAGATTATTTTGAAGAGCAGCAGAATAAGGTGTAAATTGGAGACTATCTCTGGCCTCGTTGCAGCTGCTTTGCTGTCTGGAAATCCTATCGTAATGGTAGCACTAGTAACTTCAAATCTGACATTTCCTACCATAAAAATTATTATTCTAGGTGGTTTCTAAAGTAATGTCTGGGGGTGTGGTTGTGTGTATGGACTTCCTAACTTTTGCCAGAGGCAACATCTCCATGCTCTACCCTGTGCTATGTTGCTAACTCTTTCTGGCCAGGCTGGCTTGTTTTCCTCCCACAGCCCATTTTTTACCAGGCCAAGTCTCTTTTGGCTCCATATCTGCTTCAGTAAATCTGAGTGGCTCCTTCAGTGCCTGTGGAGCTGTACCCTCACCCTGGGAGCTGCTCTAGCAGGCGCGAGTTGTGCCAGAAGAAGAAAGCACTGAAATCACAGGACATCCCCTGCTTTGCTCCCCAAATTTAAAACCACGCTTCAGCCAGCTTTGTCCTCATCGAATGTGAGCATCTCTGGGGACATCAGCAGTCCACTCGCTGGCACAGCTGCATATGGGAGGTGAGACTGGGGTGGTGAGCACACCTGGGCCCATGGGGGTTGCAGCTGGCAGGCAAGGATGCATAGATGGGACTGTTAAGTTTTCAGGAGGATGGTGTGACCAAGGGTTGTGTTTCCCGGCTCTGCTTTGCACAGGTACAACAGCCAACTTGAGTAGGGTTCCAATGCCATCAACCTGCTTGCCTTTCCCTGAGGAGCCGTGCCTTCGTCCCTCTGCCTCACCTTCCCTGGGCAGGTAGGATGGCTGAACGAGCTGCTAAAAGCTCATACCGCCATGCCAAGGTGCTCTCCTGCTCCAAAGCTACCTTTGGCTGCTGGCAGCAGCCAGCTGTGGCAAGGAGGACACATTTCCCCATGCTGACAGACACTTGTCAAGGCAGAGCGGCTGTATGTGCTGCTTAAGGAGCCACCAAAGCCCAGATCGATGCTTTTCAGTTGGCCTGTGAAACCACCCTCCACACCTTCTCTTATTGTCTGGCTCCTGCCTAAGGTATTAGTAGATTCTGGTCAGATCATACAGGAGGGTCCAGAGCCTGATATTGCTACCAAGGATGAGTTACCCACCAGCCATCCGCTGTATTTGCATGTCTACAACAAAACCCAACAGATTCTCAGAGATGTACAATAAATATTTTGGTGTTTTTTAGCAGATTTTGCATATGTAAAGGAGAGTTTCTCTGCTCTGCATGAGGATGCTTAATGCCACACCTGTGCAGATTTTCAGCATCTTCAATTGTCTCAGGCAAAGCCTTTCCCTTCATCTCAGGTAAGAGCAAAACCAAGCCGCCGTCGATTAAAATAATCACAGCTGCAAACACAGAACAAGGATCACAAAGGCAACACAATGGTCATAGAATCATAGAATGGTTTAGGTTGGAAAGGACCTTAAAGATCATCGAGTTCCAACCCCCCTGCCATGGGCAGGGACACCTCCAACTAGACCAGGTTGCCCAAGGCCACGTCCAGCCTGGCCTTAAACACCTCCAGGGATGGGGCCTCAACAACCTCTCTGGGTAACCTGTTCCAGTGCCTTACCACCCTCAAAGTGAAAAATTTCTTCCGAATATTTAATCTAAACCTGCCCTCTTCTAGTTTATAGCCATTCCCCCTCGTCCTGTCACCACATGTCCTAGTAAAAAGTCCTTCCCCAGCTCTCCTGTAGGCCCCTTTAGGTACTGGAAGGCCGCAATAAGATCTCCCCGGAGCCTTCTCTTCTCCAGGCTGAACAGCCCCAGCTCTCTCAGCCTCTCCTCATAGGAGAGGTGCTCCAGCCCTCGGATCATCCTCGTGGCTCTCCTCTGGACACGTTCCAGCAGGTCCATGTCTTTCTTATGTTGAGGACTCCAGAGCTGGTAGTTCTCATTGAGACACAGCTGCCCCAACAATTGAATAAGGACTCCTCAAAGTGATAATAATGCTTGGCTTTTTTATCTACATAATTCTCATTTTTCAGAGTAATTGTTGATATTTCTGAGGTGCATCTGGGGCCTAGAAAGCCATCCTGGGTCACAGACCCACAGCTGGTCTGGCTCCCTTGCTTTGTGCCCACAATGCAAAAGAAACAGGTTTTGGCTGTGATTGTCCAGCTGGTATGGGATTAGGGTGACACTAGCTAGCTGTCATTCCCACTTTTGGTTAGATTAGGACATGCATGACAGTTTGCTACCAGCCCACCTGGCCAATTTCACCTTCTGATTAGTTTTAGACCCTGTTATGACCATGGTCAGGGCAGGCGGTGCACGCAGGCACACCGATTTGAATATGTGTAGTAGCAGATGTTCAAGGCAGCCCTTTTTTAGGATAACAGCCCTAACATTAGGGCTAACATGCTGCTTTGCCATCCTAAATTGCCATGGGATCCTTGACAGAATGGGCCCCCTGAGGTGCCAGCAAGAGGTGGAGTGGCCCTCTTATGTAGGGAGATATGAGGCCACCCTGCTCAGATCTCAGATCCCGTAACCACCCTGCAGATGAGAGGGCCAGAACCCAAAGGCGTTCCTCCCTTGGGAAGGGCTCAGCAGTCAAAGCTTGAAAGAGCTGTCCCAAAAACATGGGATCCTCTCTGCTGAAGAAAAGGGTAAGAGGTGACTGTGCTACAGCTTCCAAACACCCAGATGAAACAGACTTATCAAGCTGTATCTTATATGTGTACAAGCGTTTATATACATCTCTCTAAATATCTTTTTTAAAGGCAGGACATAGATCACTAAACTCATCCAATCTAGGCTGTGGCCAACCGATCTGTGTCACAGCTCTCTTACCAAAGACGACCAGGGGCAGCTCATGCCAGAGCTCTGCGAGTCTGTACACAAGGAAGGGTGTTATGATCCCACCAAGGTCGCACATGGACGAGCAGACGAGGACTCCCAGGTTCCTGCAAAGCCCAAGCACACACACGTGCACACACATGCCCACACACATGTCACCAGCTCTGCGTCGTCCAGCTCTGCATCCCAGCACCCTGGCAGGACCCACAAGGGTTCTCCCACCCCTGCTGCCGGGATGAGCAGGTCAGCACCCCATCCAGGGGATTTGCAGCTGATGGGAGGAGGGATGGGCCATGAGCCTCAGAAAGGAAAAGACACATAATGCCCTGAGGCTTAGAAAGGCCTGGCCCCCACCTTGGTGAACATAATCAAGAGAGCACAGACAGAGCATTCTTCTGTGGAGAAATACCACGAGAAAGTTAGACAAGGCAAGACATTAAGACTAGACCAGTATTGGAGTAGAGATGCTAATGAGCATTTGACTTCTGGTTCACTGAACTGCAGTAGAAGGGGAGCCTGGAGGGTGTCTGGAAAGGTTTCTTACACGTCCCCTCAGGAACCTCCTGCCTCAGTGTTGGGGGAAGGCGCTTTGGCCAGGGAAGGTGGTGGGTTTCTGCTGCATCACCCAGCAGCTCTCCTGCACCTTTGCAAGATGTATTTTATAGATGCAAGCTCCTTTTCCAGGGCAGTGCATGAGCCACAGGATCCCCAGGTGCATCCACAGCCTTGAGGCGGCCTCTCGCAGAGAAACTCCCAAAGCTGTTACCAACCAATAGAAGATGGTGCACTTACCTGAGAAATGTTGGATACAGCTCAGGATTTACCACACAAATAATTTCGTAGCACATTGTAATTCCCATCCTGCCCAAGCAAGCTGCACTCATTTTAAGCCAATAAAGAGCTGGAAAGACATTGTGCACGTTAAGGTTGGAATACAAAACTATATTTTTTTTCTGCTTTTGACATAAAACAACATTAAAGCTTTAATCTAAAGAAACAGTAAGTTTGCTGTCATGAAAAGTCAAGAGGACAGCACAATGATGGTGTTCCATTTCACTCAATACGTATTTATAATGCAATTGTCTTGTGATTCAAGCAAATAACCAAGACTTGAGACTTTGCTAGGTTGCTGTCACAGCAAGAATAAATCAATGATACAGACTAGTTTGGGTTATCCAGTACCTTAACCAGAAGCTTAGGCAAGACCCCATTTCTTGCTTGCAATAAAACTTATCGGAGGGCAGCTGCGTTATTTGGTAGTTGATATCTGCTTATCAGCAAGATACTCTGTACTTTTGCACAGAGGCTTTTGATGGCTTCCAGGCTGGGACAAGTTTGTATTGCCTCCCTGTCTCTCAGTGCGTGCTCTCCAATTGCTTTCACATCTGGAGCTACAGATGTTTGCTGCAAATAAATGAATATCCCAGCCTTGCACGTAGAGTCAGTCCAGGACACCTCTGTGTGCCACATGGGCTTTTAGATCCCAAACTGACCTTGGATCATGACTTCAGATGTTTCAACTATTAGCACACATGGAGCATTGAGTTTCTCCCTTCTTCAGCCAGCTGAGGGGTGCATCAAGCCCTGGGAGGTATTTTATTCACCCATGTCTGCCTCCCCAGAGCCGAGACACCAGCCACTGGGGCATGCAGCTCGCAGCAATTGCAGCTGTGGGAGTCCCAGGGCCATCCCTGCCTCCCCAACGGGGCTCTGCCCGCCACGTTGCCCCTGCAGAGATGTCCTGGGTGAAAAACAGCCCTTTTCTGAAGGGTTGGACCTTGGGCTATGGGCTCTGAAGGTGGCTCAGCTCGGGGCTGGAGGTGCCAATGCAGGCAAGCGGGGAGAACTGAGGTCTCTGCTGGTGGGTGCTGCTGCCAAGCCTGGCAGGGTGTTAAACCACGGGCTGAGCTGGGTCGGCAGCAGCAGCATCTTCACCAGTCGTGCCTGTCCCCGGTGCAAGGCGCTCACCCACGTCCTGGCGCAGGCTGCAGGGCTGAGGGACTACCACCCCTGCGCTCCCCCAGCAAAGCCCAGGGGTCCCTGGCATAGCCCCTGCCCTCCCCAGGCTCCTGTTAAATTCAGTTTCCATTGTCTGGACACTTTGGGTTTTTTGCCTATGACATTTTTCTGCAACGTTTTATGGTTTTGTCCTTGTCCCCCTGTGAACTGATAGTTGTTTGGCACTGTTATGTCTGTGGTTTTGGTCTAGTTGTATTCCAAAAAGAAAAAGGAAAGATGTTTCATTCAGTGGCCCTTAAGGGACACGTTGCTTTGAGATTATGGCCTTGGAGCAAACATTCAGCTAAACAAAAGCCAAGTGTCCGTCACTGTGGTTGCTCAACATCCTACATTCATGGCAGCAGCACTGTTGATGGCAGAAAACACTTACTGTACCCAGATGGTGTTTAAGTGTGTGTGTGTGCCCATACGTTTTTCCTTTTTTGAAACAGAAAACATGGGGATCTTTGGATGAAAATCCTGAATTATTGATTCAAATCTAAATTTCAGGCCAGACAAAAATTGTGGACTTAACATGGCATGCTTCATGATTTAGCACCTGCAGACTTGCCATCTGATTTGATGCCATTTTGGAAATGTAATTCACCCCATTTCTCCAGCCTCTCATCAGCTGGTAGAAATGCTGATGGGGCGACATATGTGAACTTTCATGGTATTGGCCTTCACAGTACTGACATGGGCCAGGTCACAGCAAGGATTGTTGTCCATTTTCCAGGGCAATAGCCAAGAGACAGGGAGAGAACCAATTTACAGAGGAGGTTTGCATGACTCACTGACTGGGACTAACGCCGTAACGAGGCAAGCAACACCTGTCATCATGTTTGCTGCAGCCCAGGGGTAGCGACGGCCAATGCGATCCAGTGTTAGCATGAGGATGAAGGCGGCTGGGAACTCGAAGAGAGCTGAATAGAGGAAATCCAGATACATATTCCCAGCGGCTATTCCCATGTGCATGATGAGCCCCTGGTAGAGGACGGAGCTCGTGAACCTGTGCCGAGTACAGGGTGCAAATGAAGCCAAACCCTTTGAGAGAGAGTTTATGCAAAGAACTGAGATTTGCAGCTGGTCAGGAGCAAAACAGGCTTAAATCAATGATGACGATTTAAGGCAGGGAATGACAAACCTCCATTTGGGCTGCAAGAACCTTCCCTTACCAACTGTACATCAAAATGAACGTGTGTTTTCTGATCTGAGGTGTCCTAACCAGGTCTAGAAATGAAGGTTTCAGCTTTTCTCCATCTTCTTCTTCAGAGTTGAGATTCTGGGAGCACAAATGACAGAAAGACAAGAGATTACAGAGGGCAGGGAAGAGGGTGGTGAGAACTGCAATGAATGTTTTCCTCTGGATTAATGGGAGGATGAGGGTTTTGATTTGCCGGTTAAGTAACTGAGCAAAAATTGACTTCTCCAATGTTTTGAGGAAAAGAAACGTGAAAATTTATATAGACAGTCTTCATGTCTGTGCAGCCGTGTGTGTGACACTGTTCCATGGCATGAAGCAGCATTTAAAAACAAAAAATAAATAAGGATGTTCTGGAATTTTCAGTCATGAGATTTGGCGAGTTTACTGTTAATTGATACTACTTAAAGGATGAATTTTTCTTGTCTACTGGCTATTTTTGCAAGCCATAAATGCTCTGCAAGGGTCCTAGGCAGTCAGAGAGAGGAAAGCTCGCTTGCCTTTGCTTTAGGGAACTGCAGTGCTTTTGATCACCAGTCTGCTCTCTACTCTAAACCCATAACAATCCTAAATTCATAGCATTGTTTTCCCCAAAGTTTGCATATACTCAGCAAATGCAGTGCAGTCACCTGGAAAGAGAGGGGTAGCTTCTTCTTATTTCCCTTGGCGATGCGCTTAATAACTTCCATAGCTTTCTCATTTTGCTTTCGAGCTATTAGCCACCTGGGAGACTCAGGCAGACACCTGCAACACACGTAAGCATGACAGCTATGGGGAAGCAGAAGGCACGTTACTGGTACACAGAAAATTAAAATGGAACTGAGTTTCTCAAGCTAGGATCCTATGGTGTGTCAAATATCCACGGGCCACATTGAACTCACTGGTAGCTGTGGCTGTCAATGATTGCACTCTGATTTGTGTTCCTCTTGAATGACAACATAGCCTGATTTTTTTTTTTTTATTTTTTTTTTAAGGTTAAAACCAGTTTATCGTAGTTTGGAAATATTAGTCTGAGATAAATTCTCTTGATGTGTTTTAGAGGTGGCGAATAGTTTGTGGATAAAAAAAAGAAGAGCTGTAAGCCTGATCCTGAAGCTCTCCCATGTTAAAAATAACCTTTAAAAAAAAGACCAAACAAGAAGACCATCCTGAATCTGCTCCCTGATTTGGTTATGGAATTTTCTAAGGAACATTTTCACTCAATTTTTTAACAAAGAGTCAACAAAAGTCTGTTGATTACATTAAAAAAAAAAGGGCAATTTTAATCAATGAGTAGAAAACCTCACTTCTCACAGTAAATCAAGTACTGTTCAAGAAATAACGATTTACTATTTTGTGATGGATGGCAAGGACTCCAAACACAGAAGCATCACAACATGTTGCAGGTAGTCCCTTGCTCTTCGGTGATTCAGACTAAACCCTTGGGCAGAGGGAACGGAAAAATGCCAGATCTCATCCAATATCGTCTCGGAAATCCTACGTGTAACGCTATGGCTGATCCCTACAGAGATGCTGCAGCTCTCTGATACAGTCCCCTGTTTTCATTGTTGTGGCTTGGTGTTGCTGGGAGCTATAAGAACGGGCACTTACCAATAGTAGAGCAGGAAGAAGAAACTGGGCAGTGTCACCGCGAGCTGGAGCCACCTCCAGTGCGGAAGCGCGTAAGCCACAGCGGTGAGGACGAGGAGTCCCAGGGTGAAGGCAAGCTGGTAAATGATGCCCACTGACCTCCGGTAGTTTGAGCCAACAAATTCTGCAACTGCAAAGACAAGTTGTAGGAGCAAAAATAAATTGATTTGGGGAGCTGGGGGGAACGTAACTCCTGCCAGCGAAAACCACGCGGAGTCCCTGTGCTTTGCCGTGCCCTTGTGTTGTGGTGCACGGGTGTGGATTTGGATGGGAAAGCAGAGCAGGTCTGGGTCTCTGGTGTAAATCACAGGGAAAGTCCCAACCCTTCCTCCTCCACCGGTCAGCTGGGGACTTGGCCCCTGCCTTCAAGGGTGTCAGGCCCTTGCCCATCAACATGGGGCAAAGGTTGCTTTCTTCCTCCCACTCCTTCTAGCTAAGAACTAAATGGGAAAATAAAATAAACAGCTGTCACTTGCCTCCATCTCCCTCCTCCCATAGAGCTTGGGAACAGAGCCTCCCTACCCACCAAGCATGTGAAACAGCACAGCAAAAAATGGTTTTGGCACCAGGGCTGTGAAATACAAGTGTTATCTCTCACAGCACCACTTGCTGCCTTTCCCAGAAAAGTGTCATACATCTTTGCAGTGTTTTCAATTAGTTGTTGTCCCTAGACCTTGTCCTTCCTTTTTCGTGTGTGCCTTTCCAGGCACGAATGCTCCCTAGTTTTCAGAGCTGCCTCCTAATTATTCAGTTGATGTCTATGAGCCGGTGCAAGCTTGGGTCACAAACACCTGCATATAAGCAAAGAGGTGCAATTTGGGTGTAAATAGCACAGTGTCACCATCTGCTCTTGGCATGGCACCAGCGTGGGTCAGCCCTGCTGCTAAATAGGGGGTTCCTGCCCAGAAAGTGTAATTGCAAGCTGCCGTAACTGAGGACGTAGCCTGTCAGCCAGCCCCCCTTGCTGACCAGCCCCTGTATCAGCCGGAAGATCACTGTCCAGGTGTAGCTCGGCGCAAAGGCCATGAGAACCCCCGAGACCGCATTGATGAGGACTGTGACCAGGAGGCAGAGTTTGCGGCCAAACCTGCAGAGGGAAAGAAGAAAAGAGAAGAAAGATGCTCAGCTGCTGGCAGGGTAGGGTAGCAAACCAAAGGGTTTGAAGAGGCTGGAGATGGTCCTTGTCCTCCTCTTCTCTGTTCGTTTTGAGTAGGAGTCTGTATCTGCTACTCCCATTGCAACATTTTTCATCTCAATGGAAACTCAGGGGACTCCTCTGACCTCTGCTTTCGGGTCGTTGCTCACTTCTGGTTAATGACTTCGCTAATGAGTTCAAGAAATGCTCTGATATGGCTCTTCAGCCCATCTTTCAAAGCTGCAATAGCTTTTGAATGGGGATCTTGTTCGGTAACTTCACCTATTTTCTCATCAACTTTGACTGACTATTGAGACTTGAAGAGGGTTTTGTGCATCACTGTTATTTGTCATTTCCTGTGACTCACTGATAGTCAGAAATAAATTGTTTCCAAAAGAAACAAGCTTAATTGAACACTGGAAAGGCATTTGTTTTCTAGCTGACAGAGATATATATTCAGTTAGAAGTATGATTTATACAGCCCATTTAATTAGTCAATGTCCACTCACAAAAATAGCATGATAATAAATGCCAGCCAAAATAAATGTCTTCTGTTCTCCACAATAACATCAGCAGATCCCATCGCTCAAACTTTCTTCCTGTCATGAGCCTGACATACAGACATTTTTTACTTGCTTTAGAGTCCAGCCCAAGAGAGCCTCATCAGACCACAAGAGGAGCCCTCTCCTGCAAAGGCCCTTTCCCAGTGCCTCAGCTCTAAATGGCAGAGGTGCAAGTGCTGCATGTTAGCACAGACCTCGGGAGCTGTCTAGGGCAGCAGGCGTGCCATTTCCAAGACAGTTATGACTCTCAAATGTCAAAGTCAGCACCTGGGTGGGTGCCCAGAGACTGATCAAGTAAATGAGTAGGTCTAATCCCTCAGAGAGAAGTACATTTTGAAAGAACTTATGAAACCTCCCCTGAAGGACCCAAAATGTTTGCAGGAGTTGTCCCAAGTACAGTGGGTTGCAGCAATCTCATGCAAGGGAAAACCAGTGCTCCAGCTGCACTCAGGCCATCTGACAGGAAGAGGATGGGTATCTCAAATCCAGGAAACACAAAATTCATGGGACTTTTCCCCATTTCCTCTACTAACTTTGAGGCCCTAAACACATCACTAAGCATGGGATTTTGTTTTGCTCTTGGGTGCTTGCAGTGCTTTAGGACCACGTAGAACTGGGGCAGGATGGCAGAAAGCAGAGCAGTAGAAAAACCCTTGATGCATGACATGCGTGTGCATTATCTTAGCAGCAATGATATTCTATTCCCTCACATCTTTTCATACTTTTGCTTGATAATAAGCTTTGGTGAAAAGATGCTTCAATATTTTGTCACGGAGAGAAAGCATTTCAGAGATAATTGGCTGTGGGTTTGGGAGCTCCGATTTCTGTTGGCTCGCACAGCCATAAACTGCCAAGAAATGCCTTTGCCAGTTACATTTATTGTTTAATCCATCTCTGCATCTCTGTGCTGAAAAGCTGATCTGAAGATTGGTGCCTCTGATGGTCATGAGATCTGCTCACTGCTGTTTCATGTCCTGTTATGCCTGAATGAGTGGCTCATATGTATCCCCTCCTTTGCTCCCAATGAGCTGTGCATCATTATCCAAGCATCAGTTCTGGAAAAAAGGACGTAATTCAGACTGGCCAGAAAAAAAGAATTCAAGTTTAAGGAAAGAGAAGATGAGAAGTTGACATACATTTCTGATGCAAAAAAGAAACCAAGATCTTTCAAGATGCATGTGAAGAAAAGCAAAAATTGGCATAGGTATGTCAACCTTTGTTCTTAAATCAGACAGGGGACTCCAGCCCAAGACTGAAGATTGTATGTAGGATCTTTGTGGTACTGCTGTAGCCATTTGATGTCTTTCACCTGAGAGAGCTTTCTGCCAAAGTTGTAGCCTCACACAAGATGTGGCCAGAAAGAATTACTTTGAAAAATCACTATCTTCTGATAACAAATCCCTTTAAGCAGAAAGCTTCCAACATGGTCTGGTTCACTGACAGTAAGATAATGGTTTATTGAGGACTGGAAAGTGGTCTGTCCAATCTGTCCATAGGTGAACTTCTTCACAAGCAGATTTGTCTGTGTGGAGGGACAGGTTGGGGTTAGCTGGGTCTGTGGCAGCCTCTTTCCCCACAAAGGTGGTGTACACAACCTAACTGACAACGTGTTTGCCTGCAACGAAACATGGGAGTGGGGACTAATGAGACAAACACAGTCCCATCCTTATTTTGTGACACTGCAGAAGTACTATGGGGGATGGCTGTGCCCCCTTCCCATACAGCTTTCCCTGTGGAGAAGAGGGAAAGTGAAGAGAATGGTGGCAATATCTGTCGAACAGAGGTGATTCTGAGGCCTAATCAGCATGGGAGGAAGAAGCTATTGCCCATCAGTGCTCTTGTATGTTCTCAGAATACAAGGAAAAAACCCCATTCTCCAAGACAAACTGACTCTACAGAAGGGTTGTTTACCCCATGTTACCTTCACCTCTCCAAATTCCAGTCTTAGCCTCTTTTACCATCTTACTGAAAAACTTGGTAAACACCCACAGGAACATCAGCGACAAAGCATTAGATTTGCTTAGAGTCTAACCCCTCAAAAACCTCAGTGGGCAGATCTATGGCATGATGACGTTGTAATGGAAAAGAGAAGGTGAGGGACAATAAGGTCTAGATCCAGTTACATACAGTGCCAACTGACAAAAAGGGGGACCAAAGAAAATTTAAGAAGGAGCAACTTCTTCTATTTATGTAACTGAGAAAAACAATTCTATTTTGAAACTGATTTATGTCCATCTGGATGCTGTTAAAATTAACGTGAAACAAATTTATCATGAAGATGGGCAAATAGCTCTTGGTGCGTGAGTTAAAATTTCATCTCAAACTCTGAGCTCTCATTGCAGTTTGCCACTGTGAAAGAAAACAAAATCTCTTTAGTTGTGAATGTGCAGATTCCCCATGGAGCCACTGAGAGGCTGTAACAGTGGAGCAACACCATGGCATTTCCATGGATGCCTGGATCACAACGGCCTTTGAAAGCCAGGGCTTAGGAACCGCCATCTACTCCTTTGTAAGTGACACATGGGCCTTTTGGATCAAGGTTTAAATGCATTAATTTCCTCTTTGAATCATCAATGTTGTTCAGTGACGTGCAGAAAGCAGATAACCAGAGGAAACAGTTCATCTCGCACCTGTCTACATACTACCTACCTGTCTGCTATGTAGCCAATGCTCATGGAGCCAATAAAAAACCCAGCATTCACACACGACTGGAAGAGGTCCAGCTTCCAGGCGTCCTCACATACCAGGTTAAACTGCAAAGGCAACCACAATCAGATGAGCAGGAACATTCAACACAAACCATGGCTTCCTGAGGATGGATAATGGAAGGAAACCAATGACACACAACGAGAAAACAGGCTCCAGAAAAGAAACTCTCTAATCTCTCAAACTGACATCTGCAATACATCTTGTCCAGATTTTCCCAAACTTCATGGAAAAGTTACACCCTGGAAAATGATTGCACAATGACACACAAGGAGAGTGAGAAAGGGAGAGGAACTTTGAATGAACAAACTAGAAAGTTCAGAAAAATCTCACCCTCTCCTCCCCACCCATCTGCTTCAAAATTGGAGGATGCTTGGAACATTGTTTCCAGCCTTCCTAGATGCCAAGGCCTCTCTCTAACTGTGTTTTATTTTGCTGCATGAAAGCAGTTCCAGGTGTGAGAGGTGGCAGGGCTGCCATGAGCCCTGCCAGAGAGGAGCCAAGAGATGGCTGTCCCACTCCTCATTAGCGCTGGCACCACTCCCAGAATTTGGTTGATTTTTCTCTGCAGTGAGCCGGTACTCTGTAACTTGCTCGTGATTTACAATTAACAGGTTACCAACGCGCACCCAGTGAGGGGACAAGGCCGTGCTGGTGTTAACTTCTCTACAGCTGGAAATATTAATTCAGGTGTAACTAGACTTCAGCCCAGAAAGAAGCATGAATGCGTCTGGCTGCTTATTTAACCTCTTTCTAACACAGACAAGTTTGCTGAGGCCGTACCAATCAGCTCAGATCAGTTTCGCTGGCTCGACTGATGCAGAGGACGACTGGGAGTGCTCTTCTCTGCCCCAACCCCACTGTCCCAAGGGAAAGTGAGGTGGAATTGCTTTGTAATGTGATAGCGAAGCAAGGGAATATGAATATTCTGCCTGAGGAAGTCGTAAAGTATCTAGCATTGCAGTTTTTTAAGCACAGGTTACAGAAACATCTGCTAGGTATTGTTTAGGTATAGTTAATACAGATTTGGGACGGGAGAAGAAGTAGAAGAGTTCTCTGTGGAGGTCCTTCCTATGCTTCAGGTCACTGTAGTGACTGTAGTGGCTTTTAGACTGTTGCACTGATTTGCACAGTTTTTCACGTTCTAAACTATCTGGTTTAGGTAGTGTAAGTTGGAAGAAAAGACCGCTGCTGTTGCTAACTCATTATCTGACAAATTTAGCCCTGTCTTCTACTTCTTGATCATTGCATGTGAGTATGTTTAGATTATCACCCAAATGTGCAGTTCCTCGTTTGGGCTACGGGTTGCTACCCTCAATTTGGTAACTGAAATACTGAATTATGGGAATAGCTGTTGTCCGATTGATGGCAAGCTTGTCGTGTTATCCTCCCAGGAAAAGCAGTCATTTCCCACTATTTTCCATATAAATCTTTGCTCTTAAGTCCCTAGCAAGTTCTGATATTCACAATTTATCAGCAGTCAGGCTCAGGCTGTGCACCAAAAGCAATCTTCTTGCTTCAAGGTGTGTAAGGAAGAGTAATTTTTCTGGACAAACTGTGTCTTACCTCAGTCACGAGAGAGGTCCCCAGGGAGTCGTAGACCCAGCCGTCCTGGCAGGGACCAAGGGGGACAGCGCTCCGGTAGTTCCCCCGTTCCCTCCTGCGCCGGCTGCTGAAACTGGTCCCATGGCCACCCCAGTTGGGAACCGTGTGATTCAGCTGCTCCTCCAGGCTCCAGCCACACCGCTGGCTCAGCTCAGCCACCCCGGGGCTGAAGCAGCGATGCTCGGGGGTGAATCCCAGGAAAAAAATCCCCACATAAATGGGAACAAAGGCAGCAGAAAGCAGGCATAAGACAAAGAGGGCTTGTTTCTGAAAGAAGTCAAATTCTCCTATCTGCTCTAAAATATCATCCAGGGTTGGCATCTTTGTATGTTGCAACTCATTAAAGTATCTAACTTAGATACTTTCCAGGGCTTTGCCCTTCACTGCATGCTTAAATAACAGCCGAAGTGTTTGCTCAAACCTCACAAACAAATAATTAATTAACTTTGTCAATTGTCAAGCCATGCATCGCAACCTTTGTTTCCCAAATGCCATTTCTAAACAAACTTGGTCTCTCTTTTTTTTGGCCTCTGTTGTTGTTTTGTTTTGTATATGACACGCTTGAAATACAAGAGCTATAGTCTTAGATTATGGCCCTTTCAGTCTGTCACTGAGAGTCTATCAGTACACAGTATGGGGTAGGAGATAATTCCTTTGTCCAGTATTTTCAGAGGCCATAAATATTATGAAACCAATGTTGTCCTCTCTCTCATATATATATACAACTGAAGAACTTTTTACTCAAATTACACCGAATATAGATGATTACTTGCATGCTGCTTTGGGAGTGTAGAAGACAACACAGAGAAGACACAACAGGGCAAATTTCTTTTGGACACCTAATAGTTAAACAATAGTGTTGTGCCCCAAATAGGAAGCAGACCAGTGGCTGCAGTACAAGTTGGCTCTTTGGAGTCAGAGGTGCCCAGACCAAATTTGCAGATGTTCACATGTGGCTGCCCCATGCCTGAGGAGCTGAGAGTGGCCCCAAGACCCGTCACCAGCCCTCCCATGCCCACCCTGCCCTCTGCCTCCTGCTCTGCACCCTGGGGAGGTGGTGGGCAGAGGCTGCCATAAGCAACAGCCTTGTCTCACGAACTCTTTACAACTATTTCACGTGAATTTATTAGACAATGCTAATGTGTGGATGTGTGCTTAAGCAACGGAGACATCCTCAGCCTCTTTGACTGAGGGGGATGATTTATGTCATGTTCCTATAGCCGCGGTTGTGTAAGGTCCTTTCCTGTTGTTCCCTGTTTGCCTGCCCTGTAAACAATTTACTTGTGTCGAATAATGAAAGCAATGATGGAGGACTGGAAGAGGTTCAGTTCAGCTGAACATCAAAACTCTGGATTTGGACAAAAAAGATCTATGGGCAAAGATTTCTGCCTGCAAATTTTCTAAAGATAGGTCTTATTACCCCTCTTTCTGAGCCAGACTGTAATGACTTTGTAGCTTGTTTCGAGCTTCTGAAGGGAATCCCTGAGCAGGCTGCTGTCACTCAGTTAATTTCCCCCTGAGGAGCACTCGGTGACCTCTCTGAGTTTTATGAAGCACAAAACTAAACAATGAACCTTGGAGGAAAACAGAGGTGATAAGTAACGTGATATTTTAAAGGGCTATTATTAACAAGCCCTGTTGAGTTACAATGACCAGCATACCTAGGAACTGTCATGAATCACAAATGGGACTGCTACTTTGCAATAAACATCTTTCGCAGCCAAGAAGAGACCAGACCTTTGATCGTTTACAACTAAACTGTTACCTATCTCTATTCAGGTCTGGTTTACATCAGGAGAGAATGGGCTATTCCCCCTATTAATGCTCCAGGAGCTCACCGCACCACCGGCTATTAAATCTCGCACCCGCCTGCACACAGACTGCTCAGCCAGTGCACATATTTAATGCATTTGTTAACAACTAAAACCTGGATTGGCCAAACCTGCATCTGGGTCCTGCATCTGGGGAGGAAAAATGCTAGGCAGCAGTATAGGTTAGGGGTGGACCTGCTGGGAACTAGCTCTGAGGAGAAGGATTTGGGGGTCCTGGTAGATAGTAAATTGTCAATGAGCCAGCAGTGTGCCCTTGTCGCCAAAAAGGCCAATGGAATCCTGGGCTGCATAGGGAAGAGTGTGACCAGTAGGTCGAG